CCACCCCTTCTCCGGCTCCGTGGCCAGCCCAGGAGAGCTGCCCAGCAGGAGGGGCAGCACGGGGAGTGCAGCACCTGCACGGGTACAGTGCTTAACGTGGTTCATGCTTTGCTTTAGTTTAGATATTGTCTTTAATAGTTATGTATCCATTGAAAATAAACCACCAGTTGGTACAGTTTGGAGGGACAGGAAAAATGCCTTTTGTACCCTGCATCTGAAAGATGGAGATAATTAGCAAAGGTTCCTGGTTCATGTCAGAAGTGACTTAAACCTGGAATGATTAGTAGCAGCTGGAACTTCAAAATGTCATTTCATTGTCACCTGAGATCAACTTGGAAGGAAGGAAAGTGTTTTATAAGGGAATAACATGGGTTTTTATCCTGATGAGTTTCATTTTGTACACAGGGACAAACTGAAACATCTGTAAATAATGAAGAAGAAGAAAGTGCAGAAGAGCAGGTGAGATATCCAAAGAATGGATTTTTGGCATGTGACACCATAAAGTGTTTTTATCTCTGCCAACATTCGGCCTCACGCTCTGGTTGTTCCAGAGTTTGCTGTGTCTAGCAGTGAATGTCTGCACACGCTGGCTTCAGAAAGAATGGAGCTTTAGCCGAGCTGCTGCAGCTTCGGGTGCTCTGAAGTAGCCAGGGCAGTTAAAGCCTCACTCGTGCTGTGTTTCAGACCCCGGGGCTGGGCAGGAAGAGAGCCAGGGCCTCCCTGTCCGACATCTCCAGCCTGGAGGACATCGAAGGGATGAGCGTGCGGCAGCTGAAGGAAATCCTCGCCTGCAACTTTGTCAACTACTCAGGATGCTGTGAAAAATGGGAGCTTGTGGAAAAAGTGAGCAGACTGTACAGAGAGAATGAGGAGAACCACAAGACACGTAGGTTTATCTTTATGTCTTCTTTCTTAGGACTACTGAGTTTGTGGTTTCTGGTTTGGTTCTGCCAGTGGAAGAACTTGGTTCTGACCTCTGTCTGCTCTGCTGGAACACCTGGAAAATGTGTTTTAACAATGCAGGGTGCCCCTAGAGAGTAGCTGAGCATGGCTGTAGTGATTAAACAAAGCTTTCCAGGATTGTGCTTGTTTTTGAGACTTTCCTGCAAAGCTTGGAGAGCTCAGCTTTCACAGTGAGGCTGAAATTGCCCAACTGAGAACTGGTTCCTCAGAGAACTGGAACTTGGCACCTCCCTGTGCTTTGCTGGGTTTCACAGGGCTTTAGCCAGAGCTGCTCTGTAGCTGTGCAGGTCAGGTCAGGTCTGGTACTGCAGAATTAAAATCTACAGTGACAAAAGTCCAAGGGCTTTGCTCTCAGTCCACATTTTCATAAGGTGGTTCTGTGGCTGCTGCTCTGCCCTCTGTTCCACACAGCAGTTGGAGTCTTTCACTTGTGTAATTTGTCCTCAGACCAATTCTTGCTCACACAAAACTTGGGAAAAAACCTGTAAACTTAAGGTTTGTTTTTTTTGCCACGATCTGATGGAATGTTCAGTTGTTGATGGGGATGGTGACTACATGCAATGAAACTTGACAGGTTTTATTCACTTCTGCCACCTTTATGGCCTACTTAAGGCTTCTGCTTTTTAGTGTGCTTTATTATTGTTGTGTTTAATCTTCTGAGGAAAGTGTTCTGCCAGGCAGTGAGCTCTGACACAGAAAAGCAACATGCTTTGAATTTTAATCCAGCACATTATTGTGCAGTCATTACATTCTGAATTGAGAACAGTTTGAGTTTAAAGAATGAAGCCAAATATTGGATGTTCACTTGAGGGGCTTTCTAGTTCTGATTTCTTTGCTTCTTTGTGAAGGAAAACAAATTAATTCATACTGGGGGTTAAAAAAGTTGATGTGAGGGGACGGAGCATGGCTGGGCTGGAGCTGCCCTGGCTGTGCAGGGCCCAGAGCCGTGACCTCCCTCTGTGTTGTTTGCAGAGGGGGAGAGGATGCAGCTGAACGAGGACGACGACAGCCTGTGCCGGATCTGCATGGACGCCGTAATCGACTGCGTGCTGCTGGAGTGCGGCCACATGGTCACCTGCACCAAGTGCGGCAAGAGGATGAGCGAGTGCCCCATCTGCCGGCAGTACGTCGTGCGGGCCGTGCACGTCTTCAAATCCTAACGCAGCCCTCCCCCGTGCCCCGGGCAGGGCTCCTGTGGGCAGGGCTCCTGTGGGCAGGGCTGAGCGCTGCGCCCTGGGCGCTGCAGCTTTCTCGTGTTGGTTAAACTCGGCCTTTTCAACATCCTCATGTAGAAGTTGGTGAAAGGTTTTCCAAGCAGCTCCTGCAGCGCAGGGCTGGGCAGGCCCAGGTGCTGCCCCACTGACCTTACAGCCCCACAGATTGTTGGAGTCAAACTGTTTACAGCAGTTCTTGCTCTCTTCTGAAGAATCTCACCTGTCCTTATGCATTCAGCACTCGGCAAGTGGTCAGCAAACACCTCTGCTTGAGCCTGTTAGCCTGTGGTGTTGTCTAGTGCATTAGAAGCAATGAATATATCAGTTGATGATTCAGCTTTTCCCTAACGATAGAATGTATCTGTTCGAGGGCCCGGCTGCCCGCTGGCTCGGACACAGCTTAGGAAGCACTGCCATGAACTGTTCCCGCACTGAAGCCCTTAAGCAATCTTGCTTTGTGCTGATTGCTCCCTCTGAATGTCTGTCATGACACGTGTGCTGTCTTGGCTGTTCTCTGTCAGTGTACAAAGCACTCCATCACTCTGCAGGGCTCAGGGGCCACGCTGGGCTCTGCCTGGTGGCCTCCAAAAACCAGTAACTGAGTGGTTTTTAGTTTAGGAATAAACTATTTTTGTAAGAAAGGTTACTCTGGTAAACCATGTTAGCGTGGTCCTTAATCCGCTCATGCCTGTTGTAACTATGAACCTGTGATGATTGTACTCCATGTGCCGACAGCCTGATGTTACTGTGAATCCTGCCCAGGGGCGCCAGCTCCGTGCTGCTAACGTGGAATGTACAGCGTTCCTGACCTTAACTGGGGAGGGGAGGCAGGAGCAGGGTCAGCTTTTGTTTCAATTCTCTGTTCATGGACTTTCACCCAAAGCCAAGTCACCCAAACCAGCATCCCAGTATTGCTGCCAGCCCTGGGCCCAGGGTCAGGCTGAGCTTTGTGCCATGAGCTGGGGCCCAGCTCCTCTCAGAGCAGGAGCTGTGGGATGGCTGTGAGCAGTGACCTGGGGGAGGGAGCAGCAAGAGGAGGAGCCTTGGACCAAGCATGGCCACGACTGGGATTGGTGGAACTCACTGTAAAAAAGAGGTGAGGAAGGACCGTGTGTGTCCAGTTACTCTTTAAGCAGAGTTGGTTAAATGTACAGTTTCTTCTTTGATTTCCCATGTGGCAGCAAAGTTCCAGAGCCAAGGCTGTGCTGGCTGAGGGTGCAGGACCTGAGAACTGGACCTGTGCTGCACTGGCACCTGCTCTTATTTTTGTGAATCCTTAAGCTGGTTTGGAAGAGAGAAAGCAGCTCCTCCTCACACAAAACACAGCTCCAAGCTCTACTGGGTATTTTTCAGAAGGGAGCAAACCTCTCAATGGCTTTATTTTTTAGAAGTAACTTTTTAAAGGTACTTAATTCCTGGAGTCTGTCCAGAGGGGAGGCTAATGAAGACAGACATGCCCTCGGTGTTATTTCCATGCTGCTCATTAGCACTCGGACTCAATAAAGATGGGTGATGGGCTCTCTCAGCCTCTGTCTCTTTTCTTACGCAGCCCTGGCAGTGCTGGGGTTCCTCAGCTCCAGTGTTCGTGGTCTCAGGCTGTCAGGGTTACATCCCTGTTACATCCCTGGCTGTAACAATGCCCTGGAAAACGCTCGGAGCCCCCTGCAGCCCCCCCTGCCCCGACAGAAATGCACAGAGCCAGCGCCTGTTTTTGTACAATTGTTTATACAAATTCAACAAAGGTAAAACTGCATCAGGAAGGTCTACGAAAACAACACCGTACAACAATGGCACTTATGAATGCAGAATTTTACAATCAGGAAATAACCATGTTATAAACCTTAAATGAGAACTCAACTCACACTTCAAAGAAAGAGAGACTACGTTTGACCATTTATTCTACTGCTGGACTCACTGTATAAATTAATTTTATATTGAGTACAAGAGCTCATGCTACAGAGTGAAACCCTCCTATGTGCAAAAGCTGAAATTGGAATTTTTTTAAAATTTTGAGAAAAAGGTGATTTCTATACAGATAAAAGTGTTTTACTTCAACTATAATTTACACCTTATTTCCACAACATGCTTATGTCACTTCTGAAGTATACAAAGCAGGATATAAACTTCCATTAAAACATGCTTTAAGTTGAAAGTATGAACCTACTTTTCCTGACCTGGGCACGTTTGGAGATAGATACTGCCTACGAAGTATAGGTTAAGTTCTCGCCTACCATAAGTAAAGATAAAAATTGGCAATCAAAACCGAAACACTGGTAATGCATTCAAACATTGCATAAATAATTTTTAAACAATTTTTGTACAAAAATAGTTCTGCATAATGTAAGATGTAACAAAACAAAACGTGTTAAGAAGGCAGAAATGCAGTGCGTGGTCCACTTAAATGACACCAACTTTTTTTTTTCTTGTTTTAAGAAATGAAAAGCAGAAATCAAATTTACACTACCAAGCACATGCTGTGGTACTTTAAATAACAGTATTTCTTGGAGCTCAGTCTTCTTCCAGGTGTGAACAATTATCATCGGTAACAGTCGCCTTATGAATTTGCATAAGAGCCAGTGCAGGTCATCCCAGGTGGACTGAATTAGTGGCACAAGTTGAAATTCTTAACATGGGTAGTTTCACGTTGTTCTCTCCTCAACAAGAGTTGTAAAATCCAATCGCGGCATTTTCTGATATTCCAAGTTCCCAACTGAAAATAAAATCCCTACGTGTTCTTAGTCCCTTCCCCCCCGCCCCAGTATTTACACGAGTCCTTTAACTAACTCAGTTTTTGCAGGAGTTTTTCTTCCACCTGCCCGAACTGTACGCTCACGGACATCTCTGCTATGAACTGCTCACAGCCCTCCTTCGTCACCTGCTTGCAGTACCTCAGGTCGATCTGGCAGATGTTCCCACAACGTTTGAAGTAAGACAGGCACTGGTCAGTGACCTTATTGCAGTCTGGGGAGAGCAGAGGGCGGCAATTCAGCACTGATTTTTTCCTGCAGCACAAGCAATCCCCACCAGCTCCGTCCCCATCCCCATCCCCCAGCTGTTGTGTAACCCAAGGGATCACGCCAGGCAGCCCAGATGTGCAGAAAATCCCCGGGAGGATGAGTGTGGATACAGCAGCTCCCGGCAGCGGCGGGGCCATGGCCACCGGCAGCACAGGGAGGCAGCAGCTGCTGCCAGGGAGCCCCAGCAGGAGCGGGGCAGGGCTGGCTCGCTCCCCCCACAGCTCTGGGCCCTGGCTCCCTCCCCACAGCCCTTACCTGATAAATTAATTTCCGTTAACGAGTCCCGCGTGGTGGTTCCGACGGCGGTCAGCAGGTTAATAGACTGATCTGTCACGTGGTTACAGTAACTGAGATTGAGTTTGGAGAGCAGGGGCATGTGCCTGATGATGAGCCGCAGCGACGCGTCCGTGATGTCCAGCCCGGCCAGGCGCAGCTCCACGATGTTCCGTAGCTTGCTCCGGTTGTCGATCTGACCTGCAGGGCACAGGCAATGGTCACTGCCCGAGCCCCAGCCCTGCTGCCAACACCTGCAGCCTCCGTGAATGCACCGTGACACGCAACACTACTGCTGCCCTGGGTCCATTGCAGACGCTTTTGCCTGTCTGGAGCTTTGGAGGGAACATCAGCAGGAACACTTGTCTATTTTTGGAACAGGCATGTGGACAAAGCCACCTCCTGATTTCAAAACAAAAGGGATGAAAGTAACTGCAGGGGCCCAGCGGAATTACAAGTCGGGAATAAGCAGTAGGCTGTGCAGTGCATGCCAGAAAGCAGATCTGATTTGCTCAAAATTTCACCTGAGCTGAAATCCGGGCGAATGTGGCATGACCCACAGAACTGCTCCTTCCCTGAATTGGAAGAAAGTGTTTCCACACTCTCTAAAGTACACCCATGGCAGCCTGAAGAGAAGAAAGTCAGACAGAAAACCAGCACAGTGGCTCAGTGATGGTTCAGCAGCCACAGAACATCCCTGGCACCCCGGGGCTCCAGCCAGGAGTGCTGCCGGTCACTGCCTCGAACTGCCCAGGGCAGCACGGCCCCAGCCCCGCCGTGGGGGCTCCTGCCCGTTTGCTCCAAGGGGTCCCAGCACAGAGCAGGCCCCGGGGCTGGCACGGGGCTCCGGCTCCTCCCGCCCTTACCTGGCCGGTTGTCCGTGGGCGGGGACAGGAGGTCTCTCATTTGTGCGTCTTTCAGTCCTTCCGCCCACTGCACGTCCAGGGTTCGCAGCAAGGGACAGCTGGAGCTACAAAGTGCCGACACTGCAATCCATGAGCACCCTGATAACAGCAGGTCCCGCAGACCTGCAGACACAGAACAGGTTGGAGCACTGGCACCTTCCCAGCACATCCCAGTGACCTCCACTGCCCCTCCACTGCCCAGCTCTCCATCTGTCCCCCCACTTGGAACTCCACTCCTTCCCCCAGCCCCCTCAGCCCTTTCACAGCAGCATTCATTACCTGCTTTACAAAAATTATTTTAACCGACCATGTCAAGTAGTTAGAAAAAAATATTTTTGGCTCACTTTAACCCACTGATGCTTCATTATTGCACATCTCCAGCCCTCCTAATAGAGTCTACTCCTCTTCTGGTCGCCAGTCCCTGGAGACTTTCCCCAGAGGTTGCAGTTTAGACACAGACTGGTTTGTTAGACAGAGTGATTTGTGATTTGGTGATGAAAACACATCACTTACCTGGCAGTCTGTTGATAAGCCAACTCAGCTGCTTTTTAGATATATTTGTCCAGCTAAGATCAAGGGTTACAGGCTGTCTCCTAATAATGCCACTAAGCATAAGTGGAGTGATGGATTTACAATGGTTTAAATCTATTTTGGTCCATAATCTTTTGTCACAGCACCTACCCAAAAAGAAAAAAAGCCAACAGCACTTAATTTGGCACTTGTTTGGATTTTGGTAAGGCTTTAAAAGGTGTCATTAAACAGTAGGAAAAACTACAGCATTTAACTGAAAATTGCAAAAATAAGGCCAAGTATTCACAATCCCACACGATGTTACATAAGTTTCAAGTTTCTCCATCAAATATATCCTGCAATAAAGCATGGGAACTATTTCCACAGAATTACAAGTGTCAACAACTTTGGATCCCATTTTAAGTCATCCCAGCACTTACTAAAATCCGTTTTATAGCCTGAAGACAAGTCACCACTTTTTCCTTATGTTTTGACTATGAAGTCTGATTTAAATAATATCCCCATTTCCTCTGTGTCTTCCTTACTTAAAACGAGTAGATTTGGGAAAACAGATCCTCCCTCTCCTGTTGTGTGTTTGTGTTTTCCCTATCCATGAGGATTATGCATCTTTTTGCTCTTTATGGGTTTCTAAGGGCAACAACACCAAGTCCTGATGAGTGTGCAGGAGTCTGCATTTTCTTCCTATTTTTTTTTATTAGCAAATTTTGTATTTAAGTAGAAAATACATTTGGAAGGTTTCAGTGACACCAAGCAGCCCACGGAGAAGACTCCACACACATCACCTCACACTGAATTATCAGCCTCTCCACTCTGTGTGTGCTGTTAGCAGGCTGTGCTGGAAAGGAGCCCGTTCCAGTCTGTCTGTCCTTGTGCACAGCAGGAACGTGGGACGGAGTCAGCAGAGCCCCCAGGCTGCTCTGAGGGGTCACTGGAACCTGTGAATCTGCACTAAAGCTGCTGCTGCTGCTGCTGTGCAGCCTCAGCTGTGTCAGGGCCACGCAGTGCCCGAGCACACGGGACACGCTGTGAGCAAACAGCCCCAACAAAGGGCTCCTGCACAACGGGCTCTGCTGGCACAGCCACAGCAACAGGAACAGGCTGGCTCTCCATGTACCCTCCCCAGGGAGACAATCAGCACAGCCCTTGTGAGGAGCACACGGTGGGATCCTCACTATCTCAGTGGGTATTTAATAACTGAACTGCACAAATGCTGGCAGTCAGGAAGTCCTGGGGCACAATGACACCGAGACTGAGCCAGGCTGGCTGTTCCAGCAGCAGGAACGCTGCGGTGTCTGACTCCAGCACAGGCTGCTCTGGAGCCTGGCAGGCTGACGCCGAGTCTGACACACACAGCTCCACCAGAAACGCTGGGATCTGCTGTTTCTGAGAAAGCAACGTGAGACCACTGCCACTTCTGCTGGCCACCCCTTCTGCCTGGGCTCCCCAGAGCTCCAGGACAGCCCTCAGCCCTCCCCGGGTGACACCGGTGCCTCCACCACCCGCTGGTGCCCATCCCACCACACCTCGCGTCCCGCCCTCCTTACCATCTGTTCCAGGTCTTGCAAACTCTCATACAGATGCACAAGTCTCTATGACTGAGGTAGCTAAAGACAGCCATCCAGACTTCCCTCTGCATCACGTGGGCTGCCCCGTCATCCAGGGGCAGCGAGTCCGGAGGGGGGCTGATGGGAGGAGGCCGGATGACGTGCCGCTCCATCTGGATGCACTTGGGGGGCGACAGCGAGGGCGGGGGCCGGGCGATGCCCCGGGGGGCGCTGCGCAGGCTGGGCATGAGCTGGTGGTGCCTCAGCTCCCGGGGAGTCCCGTTCAACCCTTTGCTGAACCTGTGCAGTCTCTCGCTGTTGTTCAACGCACGCTTGGGCTCCTCGTTCTCGCTCTCCGGTTCAGATTTGATGGGTTGGTGGTTCTCATTGGCAAGGCTGTTCTCGGTTTTTTGGATCTCCTGGTTAAGCTCTTTGCTGAGCTCCTTGCTCAGTTCCTTATTGGGAAGCCGCCTTTTCCTCCTCATCTTGAACTTCTTCTTGTCCCTGGGCTCGGCGCCCTCCGTGCTGGGCCCTGCCGTGGGCGAGCTGGAGCGGGACTGGTCGCTGTCCTTGGACCTGGGGGGCGCCTCGGGCAGCTCGTCCTCGGGCTCCTGCTTGAGGCGCCGCAGGGGTTTGATCATGGCCGTCCGCTCATCCGGGGCCTTCCACGATCGCCGCTGCAGGGAGAGACCGGGGCTGCCTGTGGGAGCTGGGCAGCGCTTCCAGCAGCGCTGCCATGTGGATGCTGCACACAGGAGCCCTGCCCGGGCCGGGCCCCCTGCCAGCCCCGAGCCCCACCCAGCCCAGCCCCGTCCCACACGGCCAAAGGTGTCGGGTTCAAGAGGCAGCCGGGATGAGCAGCTCAGCCATTGGCTCACTGGACTCCAGGAGTGACAACTGCCCTGATTCACCTGCAGATTCCTGCTCACCCCAGGGCCTCGCCCATCTCCAGTGGATCACTCACACACAGAAGATCAGCAGCACACCAGGGACAGCTTTGTCCCCAGCAGGCCACAAGAACCCAGGCTTGGGGCCACATCCACTGGGCACCCACATCAAACCCTGCCCAAGTGCCCTCAGGCCATTCCCAGAACCTCTGGGATCACAGCTGCCATCCCAGCTCTGGACACCCCGAGCCTCCTTCAGACACTTTAGATTCTCCTGATGCCCAACCAAACCCCGGCCACCCCCTCCAATCCCTGCACAACAGGGAATGTGACAGGACCTTCCTCCTGCCCCAGCTCCTGCTCCCAGCAAACTGCTCTGCACCCTTCCCCTCTCATCCACCCCTCTGATTCACCAGGCTGTGTGAGAGACACAAACTGAGGCCCGGGAGGGCTTCAAGCCTACTCCGATCACCACATGCAAGAAAGAAGTCGGCAGCTGTGAAAATGAAACAGCTCCAGTAAGGAGATCTGGACTGGCAAGGAGAGGGAACTGCTGTGAGCACACTTGTTGTGTCACAGGGCTCCTGCTTTTGCTTTCCCAGTAAACAAACTGGATCAAGGCAGTGGCTGTGTTCCCGAGTTTCGTGCCACAGTGCATGGTGGAGAAAGCTGATCACCCTGCCTTTAAATTACCATATTAGAAAGGCAGAAGTCCCAGTAAGTTAATGACAGGTTAGAATAAAACATTGCTGCACCAGGCCAGTGCAGCTCCCAGCACCCCTGTGAATCCCCACTACTGTGAATTTGGCTCTCTCTCCACCAGAGCAGCCAATCCCTACATTTGCCATCCTGCAGCATTCCCACTGTCCAACCCTGCAGGACTGACTGACTCCCACCCTGGGAGCTTCACAGGCAGCACCAGTCCAGGCACTGATTCTGACTTTACAGCCATCAGCCACCTGAACCATGAGACACAGAAAACTGGAGCCTTCATCTCTGCTTCTGCAAATCAGCACTTCTGCAGATCCCAAGTACCACATTCTGGAATATACATGAAAATTCAGTGTCCCTGCCTGGCCTGAGAGTCCTGACTGTCACATTCAGGGCCAAGTTGTCCCCACAAGTGCTGGGAGCAGCTCCTGCTCTGTGCAGGCACCCCAAGGTGTCCTTTCCAGAGGCTTCCCAGAGTGGCACAGCCCCAAACCAGCCCCAAACAGCTGCCAGGCGCCACCACGTGGAGAGACCTGAAAAGATTTCCATGAAAAATTCATTTTCACCTTGTTCCTACTCTGAGCACCTTGTAAAGACTTTTCAGTTAAAGTGGGATTTCCAGTATCTTGAATAAAACAAGAGCCATCGCCCAGTGTTTCTGGCCTCTGAACATCAATGTGAGTGTCCCTGTTCAAGCCACTGTCCTGTCACACCAGCAGCTTTTACCAGAGCAATAAAAACTGCCAGTTCCTCTGGGGATGAGCTCCAAGCCAGAGAGCAGAGCAGCAGCCCCAGGCCCTGTCCCTTACCCGCTTCCTCATCGTGGGTTCCTGGGACTTCTCGAATTTCCGTTTCCTCCACAGATGCACCTCGTCAGACTTTCTCCTCAGGATGGAGTCAACCGGAGCCTTCTTGGAATGTTCCTCTGACTTCCTCCTGGGGGTCTCCTCGCAGTCCCCTTTCCGTTTGGCAGCATCTGGCACCTCCTTGTTGTCTCTGTTGATTTTCTGCTCCTTCAGCAGCGAGCCCGGGAGATTTGACGCGTATTTAAATCCTGGTCCGCGCTTTTGCTTGTACGCCAGAAAGACACAACACACAAACCCAACTTTATACCTTATACATCTCCCAGCTCTTCACACTGCCACCAGCACTCCAACACTGCTGGGTTGGCCACTTTTTAACTCAAAATTATTAGTAAGGAGTTTTAATTTTCCTGAGGTTATTTTTCTAACTACACACTTGCAAGTGTCTGTCTCGGTCTGCAAAGAAAAGTGTTTCACTAATTCCAACAGACACTCCAGGTTTTGCATAATTGCTTGTGAATTTTTAATTTCAGGAATTTTCATTGTCAAAATTAACATGCAGCAGTGCACAGAACTAACCTAAATATTGCCCAGGTGCTGGGTGAAGCGTTGGTACAAGTATACAAAAATTACTGAAGAACAGAGAGCTGTGAGCTTGTCTCCTTCAACTCACAGAATCATCATGGAATGAACCACATAACCCTGGAATGGTTTGGGTTGGTGGGGACCCTAAAGATCACCTCATTCATTAAGAACAAAACCTGAATTAATTAACAAAACCTGAATTAACAAAATAAAAAGCTGGTATTGGGCTAAAGTCTATCTATCAGCCAGAGGGAATGCTTAAGATTTTGTATCTCATTCCAGCACCTCTTCTTCCCATTAAACTCACTTTTCCAGTTTTCCCTGCGTGGTTGCACTTTGGACACTCCCAGCAGTTCGGCAGCTCATCGTTCACCACACCATCCGATTCCTTCACCTGGGGAGACACAACACTCACAGCTGAGCCGAGCAGGAGGGTGAGGATCATCCCAAGGCCCACTGACAGCTCCTGCAGCCCTCCCAGGGAGCAGAGGCACATCCTGCTGGTGCTGAGCAGCCCTGGGCGCTGCAGAGCCGCCCCTCGATGGTGTGGGAGGGAGGGACGCTGGCCAAACACAGCCGGCAAAGGGCTCAGCTCTGGGCCCTCCACAGGGTCAGGGACAATCCCAATCCACACACTCTGCTCTTGGAACAGCAACAGAGAACTCCCCGAGAGCCCAAGCAAAGCCCCACACCCAGGGCTGTGGCTGCCCCCTCTCCAAATGCCCCCCAGCCCTCGGGGCTGCAGAGCCCACCCTGGGTCCTCCAGAGCACAGCCTGGGCTCTCCCATCCGTGTTCTCCTTTGCATTAACCCCATTTAGCAGCACTGCACCCTGCACTGTAATCAAGTGTTCCTTAAAATCCTTTTCTCTCAGGATCAGAACGAGCAGTGCCAGGCTGCAGCCCTCCAGCCCACGGGATGGTGCTGCCAAGGCAGCTCAGAACAGGCACATTCACTCAGATGGACACCAGAGCATTTCCAGCTTTCTCACACCCCAGATCCTCAGCCAGGCCAAGGGAGAGGCCGATGACTTCATCACTACCTCCAACACTGACATTCTGCTGTCTGAAACAAACTTATGTTCAGGGCTGTTACACTCCAGCAAAGCACAATCCTGCCCTACACAGCTGGAATGCTCCTCTCGTCTGGATTTTCACACAGCAGCTTTCCAAACAGGGAACAGACATTTCAGAAAGACACTTCTGTGAATGAAAAGCAGAGCTAAGATACACCCTCCACACACACACACTCACTGATGGCACATTCCCACTTAAGGGTTTCATTACATACTCAGAAATAAACAACTTGGAAAAAAAAGAAAAATATTGATTTATTACTATTGTAGACAACAAAAACCTGCTGCTGTCCAGACTAACAGCTGGGCACTGGCAGCACCAGTGTGGCTGCAGGAGGCAGGAACAAGCACGGGCAGGGATCTGCAGATTTTTCATGTTTCTCAAACATTTCCTCCTCTCCTCCCAGCGCAGGGAAAGGGAACTGGCTGTGCAGGAGCAAGCCCTTGGTTTAGGAACTGCTTCCTCCAGTCCCTGAGCCAGACAGCAGCCATTCTAGTTTCACCATCCAGTGAGAGTGATGACATGTCAGTCTCTCAGCAAGACTGGAGTTAATAAATAAGTAAATGAAGTGGGCAGAATTTAAATACTGGTTTTATCACAACTGTGTGCCTTTGAACCTTCTTTCCCATGGTAGGTGTAAGATACTCCAGGAGCTGTTGTATACATCTCTGCCTCAGGGGAACAATTCCTGGCCCAAGCCCAAGTTGGGAACAAGTTATTTCCCGCACTGAATACAGAACAAGTGCTGCTGAAGGGAGAGCATTACAGCTCTGTCCCTTCTGTGAAGTTTAAGGAACTGAACAGATGTGAGGAACTGTAAGCAAACTAATTAGACACACACAAACCTGCCACTGAATCTGTCCCAAGCCTTTCAGGCTGGGTGGGAGCCAGTTCTGAGTGTTTGCTGCAAACAGCAGGTGGGTGTCTGAGCCCAGCGTGAGGCGTCACTGAAACCCATCCTGCAGCACCAGGGCAGCAGCTCCGGCCTGAGCACCACAGCCCCTGCTGGGGACTCCTCCTGTGGGGACACGGAGACCCCAGGATGCTGATCATGAATTCAGGCAGTGCCCAGAGTGACACAGGCACTGGGACACACCTGGGCTGTGCTGGGAAAGGCCTCTGTATCCCTGCTGCTCTCACAAGGCACCCAAATATTCACTTCCACTGTTACCAGCACATTCAGCTGAGATGGAAAAGAACAGGCTCCTAGTGGAGAAAGGAACCCCCTCTCCCTAAGGAAACAGCATCAGATGCTGCACTCAGACATGCTAGCCAGCAGTGCCAGCAATTTGAGATGAAGCAAGAAAAATTCACCACTCTTGGTTCAAGTCAAGCACTGTGGAACAATGCAGAGCAGTGTTCATCCCAAAATCTCATGAGCTCCCTCTGGAAGCAGCACTGCGCTTGCGAAACTCTCACCAAGATCATTTTCATAAGAAACCCGTTCAGCAAAACAAGCTTTTGTGTTGGTGTGGTATTTTCAAGGAAAGGAGGATGTCAGGAAGCTCCTGTGCCACTTGTGAGGACGTGGAACACCCTGCTGTCCCAGCCCTGCGGGTGCTCTGGCACCCAGGGCCCCCTCAAGGCTCACCTGAGCCACCCTCAATGGACTCCTCAGAGCTCCTCTGGCACTGCTGCTTCACGGAGAAAAACCCCCAGAGCATGAACGGCCTCATCAGGGAGCTGGAAGAAGATGGAATTCAAACCACAACCAACCTGCCCTGGAGAATAAGTCACCCCCTGCACCAAACCACACAAGCTGTGGGAGCTGCATCTTGGAAGGAACTCACTGCCCAGGGGAATGAGCCAGGAAAGGACATCTGCCCCGATCCAGCTGATCCCAGTCTCCCCCAGCAGCACGTGTGCCAGACATTCAGCTGGAGATGAGCAGCAGCTCCCATGGTGCTGCTCCCCAGTGGGACAGGAAGGCAGCTGCCCTGGGGCTGGGGCTGCACCAAAGGCTATTTATGGGCTCCATCCTCAGGGCTCAAGGGCTGCAGCAACATGTAAACATGCCCAGAGATTTCTGCCTTGCAGGAAATCATGGAACCTGGGAATAAAGAGCAAGGAAGGATCTAAGGAAGAGGCTCCATTTTCCTTTTGCTGTTCTCCTGAGCAGTCTCATCTCACCTTCCAAGATGATTCTGAAATTCTACCAGTGCTCTTTTGCCTCAGGAAATAAACAGCACCAGTTACCAGTTACCCACCATTTCAGCTCAGCAGAAGCACTGAGAAATCCAAACCAAAGGCACACAAGGCACACAGTAAATCTCCCAGTGCTTAATTGTCAGGAACAGCCAAAGCAATGCTGTTCCTGGTTACCAAAAGCACACTCAGAGCACCATGCATGTGTGAGACAGAAACAGCCCCTGCCTGACTTCACAGAGCTGACCCACATCCTGTGCTAGTCCCAAACGCAGAATGGGGAGAGGAAGTCGTACCTGAGCTGCCACCAGACAACAACTGTCCTCTCACTGAGCCCTGAGGTGCCACTGACACTGCAAGGGCAGAGATGGGTGCACAGGGCCCTTCCAGCAAGGGCTGGAACAGCAAAGCAAATTAAGGTACCTCTGAAAATGAGCAGCTCCTTCCTCTGCTTCATCAGCCCCCAAAGTTTTGTTTTAAGCAGAGCCAAACAAGCAAAGCTCCTTTTCAGAGCCCATCTGTGGCAGGAACTGAGCACCAGCTCCATGAATCAGGGAGGAGGCTCAGCTCTGGTTTGCCAGCTCCCCACACTCTGCTCTAATGAATGACAGCACAGAGCTGGGAGCAGCAGAGCTCAGGAGAAATGAAAGGCCAGGGAGCTGCACAGAACACACACACCTCTGCTCCCAGACAGCCCAGAAGGGCCCCAACGCTGCTTTTGGGGCACCCTGTGTCACAACACATTTGCTTGGGCAAATCACTTTAACCATAAACAAATCAGCAACAGGAAATGGCTGATCAGCTGAAAGAAACCAGCTCTGGAGCAAGGCAGCTTCTCAAGGCTAATGCAGGAAGAGATGCCCAAAATGACACTTTTGTCACCAGCAAAGCATCCAGCTGCTCAGAGGAGTCAGTCAGCCAAGGTGAGCACTCCTGCAGGCTGCCACTGGCCCAGGCTGCTCTCCAGAGCTCACTCCTGCTCCAACAATCACCCCCAACACCTTCAGAGCCAGCTGCCCCCTAAGGCACATCTGTGCCTGCACCTACACGAGAGCCAATTGTTCATCTGTACTTTGTGGGGCTCAGGATTTGGGAATATCTCGCCCTGAAGTACAGACAGATTGCTCTGCCTACATCCCAACTCAAACACCTCACCTCCTTAAACACGGGGCAAAAAGGAAGAAACAAACCCACAAGATCTTCACACACTCCAGAGCCAGGGTCCCAGGGAATGCTGTTACATCAAGGGCCTGCCTGCAGGTCAGGGCTGTGAGTGCCACAGAGCTCACCCTGCTCCTCACACCAACTCTCTGCTCCCTTACTCACTGCCCAAAGATGAAAAGCTAAAACATCCCCAACTTCTGTGCACCACTTTTACATTAAGGTGATAACTAATTCAGCTTTTGTTTCCAACATGTATCACATCCTTGTACTCACCTTAAGGCATCCTGGGTGTATGATTTCATTACAAATGGAGCATTCCATTAGCATGAGATTAAACTTGCTCTCCTCCTCTTCCACAGTGTCCTCTTTCCCAGCTTCTCCACACACCAGACACACAGCAGTGTGAGGCAGCACCGGCTGTTCAGGGATCAGAAAGAGCTCATCAAGATATGGCAGACATGGAAACACAGAGCTCAATGTGCATTTACAGTATCCATAATTTATTATGGATAAACTATTGTGCAAACTCACATGAAGGCAAAAAAAATAAATAAATTGTAACAAATGAGGGCTGGGTACCAGACCAAGCTCCACAGGACACGTTTCACCCTGTAGCAACACAGGCTCAGGGAGCATTACTGGGATGGATGAAAATGCATTTTTGGTGGGTTCCTTCAATCTGTGAGCTGACACAGACATTGGCATGCAAGTCACTTCACCAGTGTACAGTGGGAGGGGAAAGAATCACCCTAGACCAGCACTATTCACATCCATTAGGTTCCACAATCCGAGGAGCAATTTGGCAGCTCCCGTATTTTACAGGCAGGGCAGACAGATGTTATGGGACCTGATCCAGGTCTCACAGCAAGCCCACAACAGAACCAAGAACAGCCCTTTCCTGACTGGCAGTCCATTATCCAGGGCCCTGCTCCCAGCCTGAGCACTGCAAAAGCTCTGCTCACTCAGGAAGAGGATTCTCTCCTGCAAGTGTCACAAGTGAGATCACACAGATTTTTTTTCTTCCTTTGAGGCAGAAAGGGAACTGCAGCATCTCACATACCTGTCACCCATGTCAAAGCACAGAATGCCACTCTAATTAAAAAGCCACCTTTTTGCTAATGATCAACAAAATTCTGGTCTGCAGCAATAAGGTATAAACCCCATTACAAAGAAGAAAAGGAAGGACCTGCGCTGCCCACAAAGGGAAGTGCCACTGACTGGGCTGCCAGTCCTTAACTACACACAGCAGAAGCAGAGATGGGGCTTTCCCAGCAAGGATCTCTTGTGGATGGAGTGAATCAATCCCTAAGGGAATACCTGCACACCAACTCCAATTTCAGCATCACCAGTGCATCCTTCAGCAAGGCTCAGGCAGGGGAAGCCCGGCTGTGTGAGCCATCAGAGCACAGAGCATTTGCAAACAGCAACACAATCCTTCTTCTGCTGGGATCAAGGGTGTCCAGGCAATTGCTCAGTCCCTGGAGGGGCTGGGGCAGCAGCTGGGCTGTCACCACGTGTCCCTCCAGCCCCAGACCATGCAGTGTGTCCAGGCACTCCTGCTTCCCTTCCTGATGGAACTGGTGATGCAGAGGAGGCTCCTGCTCTCTGAACAGCAGCACCACGGGCTCTCTGAAGGCTTCTGAGCTTAATGAAAGTCTGTCTAGTTAATATTGTCAGTGTTATTAACCAAGGCAAGCACAGTCCCAGAACTGTAGGGATCATTACTTCCATACAGCTTCAGCATCTTGCAGGGTCTTTCTGGCTGGAAGCTGCTGGATATTATTACTGCTGAATTGTTAGAGAACAAGAGCAAAGCCAACAGGACTGCTTACAGAAATGTAAAGCACCTTGAAAGGTACAACATTTCAATTCCTTAATTTTCTGGGCCTTTGCTGCTTTAAGAATTTGTAATAATCTCCCTGATATTTGCACCAACCTAGAAAGTGCAGAGAAGTCACTGTCAGTGCATGTGAAAGTGGAACAAGTAATCAGAGACCCCTGGCTACCTCTGTCCTAACTGAAAGTAAAACTCTAGGCACAAGAAGAGAAATAAATCCTCACTGGAAGACAGAAAATGACTACACTCAGCTAGAAGAGAGCCCAGATCACCTCCAGAAGGCTCAGCCTGCGTTACTGAGAGTGAAACAGCTTAGTATGAAAGTTTCCTTCATCAGTGAGGATGAGAAAGCACACTGCAGCCCTAATTTAATCCTTCCACTAAAAAGGCAGCATGATTTCACTATTTCTTGCCCCTGGAGAATAATAAATTCTTCATCCATGCTGTTCAATTCATGCCACACTCCAGGAAATCAAGTGTTCAAAGAAAAGACACTTGAGCTGCAAAAGCACTCTGCGGAAAGGTGGATATTCTGTGTACTTTACTGAAAGATCCAGCAGTGCTGAACCCAATCCTCTGTGTCAGGAACAGTGCAGAGCTTGGCACAGAACATGGAGTGAGCTACCAGGAGCAACTACTGGAAACTCTAAGTGCTTATCAGTTTTTTATCACTGGTAAGTCATTTAATCCCTCCACTTTGGTCATCTCCTAAGAATTAAAAGAAAAAAACCCAAATACTAAGTGAAGGGAACTGTAATGAGAGAAATCAGTATAGATAGGGTGATATTTCAGTTATGAATAAACAACATTCCTTTCTTCAAAAAAACAACAACAACAGAAAACCAAACCCATAACAACAGCATAAACAAGACCTTCTAAAGAATTAAAGTAAAAACTAAAGCTGATTTTTAGCCTTGAACAGAGTCACTGCAGACATGAGACCCGAGAAGAAGCTCCACAAGTCAGCATGGCAGCTACAGACTCAAAAGCTGCTTGAACAACTCAATGGAAGATTAATCTGTCAATATTTGTTAAACAGAAAGCTATTGCTTGTGACTCAAGAAGCTCCTAAGTAATGTACCACAGGAGCCCAGGAAACTGCCTGCCTGCTTGCCCTGTGCTGATGCTCCTTCCCTGACAGCCATTTCCAGTCCCTGAGGAAGACAAGACCCTGGACTGAGGGCTCTCTGCCTCATCTAGACCAGACCCTCTGCTCTATGCCTAAGTAACAGCAAACAAATTGAAACTGAGATCTCTGTGAGCCTGGGGCTGGGGTCATCAACACCAGAATCCTGAAGGCTGTCAGTCAAGGATTGCCCTCATCCTAATTTGTGTGGATAACACAGCAAAGATGATTGCAGGGCAGCTTTTCTCGGGAAATTCCAACATCCAAACCAAACACATCTCTTCATCCTTAGAATCAGAACTTCCTACTCTTCCCCTTTTCCCCCACATCTCAGAGTCTGAGGGTGATTTGAGTGCTGATTTTTGATGCAATGACAATCTCCACTTCTACATTGCTAAAGGAAAGCTGTCCTGTTAAGTTTTAGTGGCATTCTGGTTTAGGATCTGGGGAGGATGAGAAGCACTGGGAAAGGAGATGTGAGCTGGGAGGGCAGGGAGAGCTCCCAGCCCCAAACTGGTCAGCCAGGAGACACAGCAGGAGGAAAGGCCTCTGCAGGCGAGCTGCAGGCCCAGGCACACTTACAGCTATGCACTGCCTCATGATGCAGGACTGCTTCATCCTGCCGGGGCCCCCGAACTTCTTCATGTCCTTGCAGAAGTGGCACTCGCC